GGACAGTGGCTCCTGTCTTCTGAATGGGACCACCCTATCCACTACACTGATTTCACAAGTCACAGGACCACATTTTACACAGCTGAACTGTTGGCCCCACTCACAGCGTGACAATAAGGTTTTATGTTGGTATCATTATTTGAAATTATTACTAGTTCTACCTGTGTACTTTTCACATTGTTACAGCTACCTGCTTTCCTTCTCCAGCACACCGGCGTGCTCCTTGTGGGCAAAACTGCTTGAGTCATCATTGTATCTATAATGTCTAGACTAAGGCCTAGACTATATCTAATACTTAGTATTATACTTACTTGCTGGATGAAAGAGCAAAAGAATAAATACGAGACTGGATCTTTCCAGCAATCAAATGTCTCTGCACAGAGGCTGAACATGTACATATTTGGGTGTAGGGATGCGCTTTTGCTCTGAAAGTCAAGTAGGTTACTGACTCATACCTCTGTATACTCTTCAGTCTACATACACGTATAGATGGGGGAGAGGCAAGGAGGCATGTATGTGTTCATACCATTTTTTCCCCCATTTAGATGGCATGGAAATGACTTGCAGTATGCTCACTAGGATGAAACTGCTTCAGTTGGCTGCCTGAAGGCAAATGGGAATCTGTAATAGAAACAGAAGGACGGCTCCCCCAAAGGAAGCAAGCTCTTGGGCTATCACTCACAGGGCCTGGAGATGTAGGCAACATCACAGAAAGGCAGGCATGGGGTATCAGAAGGATACTGTATCTCCCCTAGCTGGGGAGATCATACAGCTCTAGGCACATGGCATATGAGAACAGAAGGAAATCTCAGAGATCCCAGATGGTCAGTGTGTTTCCTTCTGACTCCTTTCTTTCTTCTTTTTTTCTGTATGAGACGGATTTTCGCTCTGTTGCCCAGGCTGAAGTGCAGTGGCACAATCTTGGTGCACTGCAACCTCTGTCTCCTGGGTTCAAGTGATTCTCCTGCCTCAGCCTCCCAAGTAGCTGGGACTACAGGCACCTGCCAACACACCTGGCTGATTTTTTTTTTTTTTTTTTTTTTTTTTTTTTGGTATTTTTACCAGAGATATGGTTTCACTATGTTGGCCAGGCTGGTCTTGAATTTGTGACCTCGTGATCCACCCACCTTGGCCTCCCAAAGTGCTGGGATTACAGCTGTGAGCCACTGCGTCCAGCCCCTTCATTCTTTATACAATCATCTAAATACCTTTTATAAGCCAGGCACTATAAATGCACCTGTGGATAGAACAAGCAAAGGCCGTCTCCCCTCACATAGCTGCATGAGGGTCTGCTGCCTCAAGCCCTGGGTTTTTCAGACAGCCTTTTTTAAAAGACAGGGTCTCCCTCTATCACTCAGGATAGAGTGCAGGTGACCTCGGCTCACCACAACCTCAGCCTCCTGGACTCAAGTTATCCTCCCATTTCAGCTTCCAGAAAATCTAGAACTACAGGTGAATGCCACTATGCACAGCTAATTTTCTATAGAAATGGGTTTTCAGCACGTTGCCCAGGCTGGTCTTGAACTCCTGGGCTCAAGCAATTTGTCCACCTCAGCCTCCCAAAGTACTACGATTACAGGTGTGAGCTACTGCACTGCACCCGCCTCAGACAGGTTTCTGACCACATCCAACCTCAGTAAGAAAAGACATAGTTGCGGGGGGTGGGGAGGGCAGGGTGGCACTGTCAGGCATGAGGATAAGATGGGTCAGAGGCACACATACTGCTTATTTGCCAGGCCTGCCCAGGTTCCTAGGTGAGTCCCACAGGTAAGCTGATAAGCTGACATGATGGGGAAATAGGACTGTCGTGACCCACCTAAGTCTTGGTTAATGAGTGGAGGTCTGGGTACAGAAGGGGGACAGCAACAGCACGTGCAGAAGCCGCAGCTTTGCCTGTGTTTTTCCCCACAGCCACAATGTTTTCAACTGTAGAAAGGACAGTACTGGTCCAGCTCACAAACCACCGAGTGAGCTCCAGATGCAAATGCACCGTTCAGTATCATATATGAAATAAGGAAGACTGGGGGAGGTGGACGTGAAGAGGTTAAAACCAGGAAGATGAGGAAAGAAGCCAACTGAAAAGAGATGGAGATTTCAGCCAAAAATAATAACATGCCACCCTAGTGAATCCTAATTTGCAGGCTTACACGGCACTCCTAGAGTTTGCTGGACTGAATGATTCGCCTGTGGTCATGTAATAAATAATTCATTCATCCAAATTTATACCCCAATTAGAAGAGTCTGCTAGATCCCAACAACTTCCTGGCACTTTTAGCCCCAGTATTAGTGTTATACTGAATTCCTCCCATCTTCACAGGTTCCCTGACGCAAGAGGCTACTAATGACGCCTGCACCCCTAATGGCATACCTGGACAACATTCTGCTGAGCAGAGGGTTTCCTAAGTTTGGTGCAGAGATTCAAAGATGGCTTGTAAAGAAAAATAATGAGTCAGAAGCTGACTAAGCATCAGTCATCTATCTATGTCTCTAACCCTCTTGAGGAGATCAGCCCTGCTTCCCTCACCAGTAAGGCGTCCAAGAAGCATGTGAATCCTGTTCATCCTGCAGACATTTGCTTCTCGGCAGCTCCAGTTCCCCTTTCCAATGTGGATTAGAATCCATGGCTTTTTAATTGCTCACAGACACAGAGAAAGGCATCAGAAACAGAAAGGGTTATAGATGCAAAGCCTGATTGTTTTTCCATGTCATTATTTCAAAGCCGAAGGTTCATTCACTTTGGAGCCTGTGGCTGTGTGCTGGGTGTGAGGTGAGTCAGCAATACACTGCCCCATTCTTGTCATATTTGCCAAATGTCTGGGACATGATTTCACTCAAGAGTATTTTAATATACTCTAGTCAGGGAGCAGGCAACAGGTAATGGGATCAGTGCCACACTCTACGCGGGTCCCTGTTTTTCAAGGATGAACATACACCCCTCATGCTCTTTATTTCAGCCTGCAATCCTTGTTCATTATGCAAACTTGGACACAGTGGCCAGATCTCCACTCTGGCCTATTTCCTATTCTCTGACAGGGTAATGGATGGTAGGTAAGTAAGGGTTCTTTTAAAATTTGTGAAGCTGAGAGAGACATTCATGAGGTTGGGTTAATAAAAGTGTGCAAGACAGTAATGGCACGCTGCTGAAAACCAGCTCTGCCAAAGGGTTTTTAAAGGAGCTTGAGCTCTTTCCACAATCCGATGTGGAGAAAAGTAAAATGAAACAAATGGCAAAAATAGCACTGCCATTAAAGGGCCCAGACATTCGGATGATTCTAAAATGTCAGCCTACGACAGAAGGTGATAGAAAGCAAACAAAGTGAAAACTAGAGAACACACTTCACTCCTGGATAGCCAAAAACAGTCATCAGACTGCAGATGACCTTGGAAGGAAATAAAATCTTAAAACAAACCAGGTCTTTGGCCAAAAGGCTAAAGAATTGGTCAAACTATTTTATTTGTGGCATCATACAAATACCTTGGACACAGAAAGGATCAAATGCATTTACAGATGGAGAAACTGAGATATATATTCTTCTGGCTAATGGGTGTCTATTTAGTGTTCTCAGGTTTTATGAAGATAGTACATCAAGGGCCTAGCAGAGCTTTAATTTGCAATTAAAAAATCATAAGTCAGGGCCACCTCCAAGACTTCGCCCCAGTTTACTGTGGGCAAGCCAAACTCTCTAGCCTATTTCCTCATGTTCAAAATAAAGTTAATAATAATAACTGCTCTATCTGCCTCTTAAGGCTGTTGTGAGAATCAAAGAAGATAGCGTATGTGAATACACTTTTTATAAATGAGGTATCACACAATGATTGGCAATCGAGATTATGCCATAGAAGTCTACCTGCTCAACCTCTCTCCCTTACCTTGAACATGAAAACGAAGTGAACCACAGATGACAGCTGAGAAATGCACTACTGATAATAAGCTTCCTTGTGCTTTGCATACCACGAGAGGGATCCATGTGCCTGCTTCACACCTGCATCCCTTGTACAATGCCTAGCACTTTGCAGCTACTTAATATTTGTGAAATTCATAAATAAAAACTTATTAATACACCGGATGGAGTTTATCTAATACACTGAAGTACCGGCCAATCCTTCAAGGTCAAACTCTCGTTTCTTCACAAGTCCCTGAACTTTATTTGGTACTTCCACGGCAGAGTTACAGAAAGAACACAGACCACTGGGTGGACTTCCCCACAGTGTCAAAGCAACAGGTCATCATGCTACTGCAGAGCAAAATGATCCTCAGGGACTTCCCCGGCTACCTCCACCACATGGTCTAAACTTTGCCTCCATCTGTGCCAATCAGACCCTCCTCCCCCTCATCCAATTTTACCTTCCACTATTTTTCAACACTTAGACTAGATGGGTTGGCTTCTAGCTCTTTCCTGAATAGGGCATCTGCACTTCCACCATCTGACTCTAACTCCTGTCCGGCCCAAATGCCAGGTGTGTCTACACCCCATCCATCTTTCATCTCTTGCATCTCTCCTGACACTTGCTCTGCTTCCTGAGCCCACAGTGACTTCGCCCTCATCTGAACTTCTTCACTGTCTAATGCATACTTGCCCAACAAAGAGGTATGAGGAAAAGCTGGCTGGGAAACCCACTCTTTGAGCAGTGATAATTGCGTTGGGGGAGAGTTCAACACCCTGGCTTACTTTGAAAACCACTGCTCCATCAGAAGGTCCATCCTTCCAGGCAGGGTCTTACCTTTTCCATCCACAGCCTTATCCCTAGCCCCTTGCTTGACACCTGACACTGATAGGTCCTCAGGAAATACAATTTTTGACTAAATCAATGAGCAAAACTTGTAACAATTTCATTCCACAATTCACTGACTTTTCAGTTGACACTGGTCTTGCAAACTGCTGCCCCAAAATAGCCGAAAGAGCTTATTGCAGCACTGAAAAACAAGCATGACATATTCTGATCCCATTTTCACAGTCAATGGTAACAACCTGAACACCGCATCCCTGGTGAATTTTTACCTTGGTTTCTCGAAGAAGAAACTGCAGGTCCCGTCCACTGAGGATACCATGGTTTTTCACGTAACTGGGAATATTCTTTGTGCTGGAGCCATATACAGTTGCATGCACTTCCATGTATGTGTGAATAATGTCCAAGTAGATCTTCTTATTCTAAAGAGGAGAACAAGTAGAAGACATTTCTCTTTGTCTTTCATTTGCATAACAACCTGTGTCATGGACCAGAACTTCTAAGACCAGAGGCCACAGAGTTCTTAATATGGAGATCACAGGAATTTGGCAATCAAACTGCTGCTAAAATTTCTTTTGAACGTAATCTGGCTGGACTTTGAGGGCATAAACAGTCATATAACCACTGCATAATTCTGTAAGAAGAAATACATTCTGTGGCAACATATTACTGAATACCAACTGTATAATTTTACAAGAAGAAATAAGTAGCCAACTATTTTGAAGTATCATCCTTGTTTTGTAAATTACCAGGGACCTAACAGTTGCTTTTGGCTCTTCCTACCTCTAGGAGAGGAAGTTTGGGGAAGGCCATCAGTTGGACTGGAATATTTACCCAGAGATGCTAAGCTGTCCCTGAGGAATACAAACATTCCCAGCTCTTGCCAATGTTTCTAGTGATGATTAACTCATGTTGTCAGAACTGGGTCCCACCTAATTTGGATCATGGGAAGATGAGAGTTTCTCACAGCTAGAGAGATAACGAGAAGACTCAGGTAGACAAATGTAGAATAAAGAGAATAAATATAACTTTCGATGAGCCCTGAAACATTCAAGAGTAGTTTTACTTACACTATTGGAAGCAAAACCAAACCCCCTTTCTTGTATTTGTAGGCACTGAATTTTGAGGCACGTTTTCTAAATCAAAACCACCTGTGAAGTGGAAGCAAGTTCATTTTTTTCTACCTCTATGTGTTTCCCTGTGACTAAATTGTACAAGCTGGGGTTTGTGGGTTTTTCTTTTTTTTTTTTTTGGAAAATTTCAAAAAGTTCTGTAATGTTTTCCAGTTGTATAAAAGTGGGACAAGGTTTCCTCATTCTAAGCCTGCTTTCAGACACTCCAGGCAAATCTAATAATAGCTGGTTTTGTGACTTAAGACCACAAGGGACACAGGGGTGTGGTATCAGCAGCCACAGAGTGCAGGGAAGCCCAGAGGCAGGTTCTAAATGAGGCGGTTCATGATCTGGTCTCTGCCATTCACTGCCCTGGCAATATTACAAGAGATCCTTAACTTCAGGGGAAACATTTCAAGTGGTATATCAAAAGTCTTCAGGACTGGAAAAACAGCACAGTTCACATTCTTCATTGCATGCACCAGGGTGACTTTGCCATGGGCAAGACTACCCTTCCCATCCTAATATATAAACAAAATGAACAGTGGAACTGAAAGCTTAATTCCATGCCATGTCTGGTATGGCTGCAAGATGCTGAATTTACTACCTTAGAAATGTGTACCTTTAAATTAGTACAGAAGCTTACACCTACCTGGCATATGTTAGTTTGAAGGGTTCTTGTGCTAGATGTATCTGGTAACTCCTGCCCCCACCCACAGCTCCTGTTGAGTAGGCAGGGGGCTTTGTTACTCTGCCCCCAACTGCTGGCTGCTAACCGGCCCAGGGTGTGTCTGACCTGAGGGGACCCGGTCGTAGGCGGGCCAGCAGCCCAGGAATGATGTAGCAGGCTGAGGAAGGCAAGGGGAGCCAACCAGATGCTCTCCTGGGAAATCAGAATCCTGTGTACAGGGAGATTACTGCCAGATGGCCACCCGCTTTAGAGCAAAAAGGTCATTTGAGTGATGGAGTCTGGGCAACTGGGGGCCAGATAACAAGTTCTGAGGAAGCTGGTTACCAGTTTTGGTGGGTGGGATGGGAAAAGAACAAAGTAAGGGCTAAAGAAGACGGGAAGACTCACAGACAGTCGGTATTAAGTGGGATCCAAGAGCGTGACTACAGCCAACACAGCCACTGCAAGCATGATACACGCACACAGAGAAAGAAAAAAAGGGGAGTAGAAGGAGAATGAGTGGAAAGAGGAGAGAGAAGAGAGTGAGAAAAGCAAGCAGAGATACACAGGAAGAAAAAACTAGGGCCTGGAGTGCTCTGGTTCGGATCCCACTCACAGCCATTCCCTATCCTAAGTTCCTCAGGTCCCTCTGGATCCTTATAATAAACACAGCTCTTCCCAGACCCCATCTCATAATTTTATTTGACTTACTCTGGGTAGATTTCACTCATCTAAAAGGAGGCCTCTCAGGACATTCTGCAGGCCTTGAAGCAGGAGGTGTGGGATGCAGGTGGGGACAAGCATCTCTCCTTTAAGCAAACGGAGGCATTTCGCCTAAAAAGCCAGTTGCCAGTTAGTGACGATGGGCTAAAGGCCCCTAGGCTATGTCTGTGGTGAGCTACAGGGCAGACCAGTAACTGGCCTATCTGGTTCCTGTCCTGGTGAAAAATATCCACTGCAGACAGACTCAAGATTAGGGTTCCCGGACTAAATGCTTGGGAAAGTAACAAGGCACTACATTACATATGTATTGCCATCAAATTCCAGAAAAGTCTGTGGCTTCTTGAAGCATAACAAGCGGGCAAGTTGGAGCAAATATAAAGAAGTATACGTAAAAATTAATAAAGTGTATGAACTTACTTTTAGGCATGGTAAAATCCCAAACTAGAGATTACTTTCAGAAAGGATTTACTAATTTCACAAATGCAAAAATCCCAACAGGTAGTTAGAGGGAACAAAATGTTTCAAGCATAACTTTAGCCTTTGACACTGTTGTGACAATTAGGTACTTCTACCTCAGGTCTCTTGTTACCACTTGTAGGAGTTCTCTTAGTGGAATCCTGGTGGAGGTGAACCACGCCACCTATTCCAGGTAAAGGTGCCCCCAAAGCCTCTCATACCAAACTGCTAGCCAAGTACCTACACCAGATTTGCACCTGTGGTTCTGTCCCTCTCAGGCTAACACACATCGAGTTAGTCACAGTCCTGTATATTCTGCCTCCATAAGATTAAATTGGTATCCTTCTCTCTAGGGTGGAAGGTTCCATTCTTGCCATCAAGGTGCTCAAAGGATTCCCTTCTGTCTTCAGGAACACTCTTACCTTTTGTGTTTAAGATAACAGGGTATTCAGGATTTTTAAAATTAAGGGTGTCCCAAGAACAGAAAACCAAACACTGCATGTTCTCACTCATAAGTGGGTGCTGAACAATGAGAACACATGGACACAGCGAGGGGAACATCACACACCAGGGCCTGTCGAGGGGTGAGGGGCTAGGGCAGGGCTAGGAGGGGGTGGGGGGCTAGGGGAGGGAAAGCATTAGGAGAAATACCTGATGTAGATGACATGGGGATGGGTGCAGCAAACTACTAGGGCACATGTCTACCTATGTAACAAACCTGCATGTTCTGCACGTGTGCCCCAGAACTTAAAAGTATAATAAAAAAAATTAAGGGTATCCTTGTCTGCCTTTCCCCAACTAATGGAAAGGCTCAAAGTGGGGCGGGGCTTAGAAGTAAGAGACATTTCCCAGCATACACTCCCCTTCCCTTCCCTTCCTTCGGTCATCCAGGCATCCAGCCCCAGAGTGAAGGTGACACCATAGACCTTGGTGTCCCACTGATCTAAGAACTGGATCAAGGTCACTTCTCAGAAAGCTTTCTTTCTGCAACTTCAGAGACTAAGGTCAAAGAAAATTATCTGCTCCAAAAACTTTATCACCAAGAGATCTCTGGAGAAGCAGTCAAAAAGGGCTTACACCGAGCATCACATCTCGGCACGTAACCACCTTTGTCGTCCAAAGGTTCCAGCTGAGCAACTAGCAGCCTCCCTTAATGCTTTTATTTTCTAGTTCAATTTAAATTCCCATTAAGAACAACTGATCTAACTGATTAAAATTTAAATCTACCCAAGCTCATTTTGGGGGGAGGAGATGCAAGGGGAAAGGAGAGCACATGCTGGAGTCAATGAGCAGCTCTGTCTGTGTCTCCTCAGCTGTTGATGGTCCTAGCTGGAGGCAGGTACCTGTGCAGAACCAGTCATAAGATATTTAGACCTGGAAGAGAAAGCTTTGGGAAAACGATTCAATCTAAGCAACACTCCTGTAAGTCTACAGCAGGGGGAGTGGTAGAATGCAGAACCAGAGGATCAGAAGCTTTCCCCAACTTATTTTAAAACATTTTTAAATGGATACATAATTGTATGTGTTTGTGGGGTGTATGTGGTATTTCAGCACATGTATACTACAGGTAATGATCAAATCAGGGTATTTAGTGTATTCATCACCTCAAACGTTTATCATTTCTTTGTGCTGGAAACATACCAAGTTCTTTCTTCTAGTTAATCTGAAATACACAATACACTATTGGTAACTACAGTCACCTTGGTCTGCTATAGAACACTAAAACTTATTCCTTCTACCTGTATGTTTGTACCCACTAACTTACTACTCTTCATTCCCACCTACCCTCTTCCCCAGCCTCTGGTATCTATCATTCTACTTTCTACCTCTATGAGGACCACTTTTTTAGCTCTCGCTTATGAGTGAGAACATTTGACATCCTTCTGTGTCTGACTTATTTCACTTAACATAATGATCCCCAGCTCCATCCATGTTGCTGCAAATGACAGACTGCCTTGTTTTTAAATGGCAAAATTGTATTCCATTGTGTATGTGCACATTTTCTTTATCCATTCATCTGCCGATGGACACTCAGGCCGATTCTGTACCTTGGCTATTGTAAATAGTGTTGTAATAAACATGGGGTGCAGATATCTCTTTGATCTCCAACTTCCTTTTTAACTGGTAAATTAGGGTACAGAAATGTTCTTTGGTGAATGGCAGTATCCTCCCCAGTAACACCTCTGCTCCCCACTGCAGACACACATATTTCTCCTGGAATTCATTTCCCCTCATTCATGCAGCACCTTATGATCTGTCATTTAAAAAATTCTGCAGGTCAGCGTGAAGTTGGCTCCTCCAGTGGTGAACATCTGAGAGTCTTAGGCAGTAGTACTCCTCCCTGGGAAGTGCTGTCAATCCCTCTCCAGAATGACAAAACCAGGCTGCAGAGGCAAGTGTGTGCCCCACCTCATGTAGGCCAGAGAAAAATTTAAGTCCTACAGAAGGCCTAACAGGACGG